TAAGCACCAACCCCACCAAAAAAAACCCAGGGATGGGGGGGGGGGGGGGAAAGAAAAACTAAACTATTTTTTATATGTCCCCAAAAACCTGACAGTACAAAGCGATGGTGCTGCTGCTTCTAGCCAGTGATAAGAATCCCTCTGGTTACCGCAAGGAAAAGGACATGTAAGGTTGGAACAACCCGCATCTATAAATCAAATTTGCCCATCTAGCACAGGAGCAGGGGTACCTTCCCTCCGGCTGTCGATCTGGGAACAGGAGAAGGCAGGAATCGGGGTCTTAAAGCCCCCATCACACCGACCAATTCACCCTCGTGCTCTAGCAGGGGTACGATGGCTCACGATGTGGACCACGGTTCCTAACAGTCACCCTTGAACAGAAAGGCAAGAAGATTTATCTTTTAATATAAATTTGTTATTTTATTAAACAGGATTAACAATCAATGTCCAGAATCCAAACAATCAACTCTTCTTCAGAAACAATTTTTGGAGAAAAATGACCCCCCAGAAGCCTAGTTCTTATCGCAGTCACATTCTTAAAAGTGATGCTTTATCATTTGCTTTATAAAAGTAAGAAATTCACTCTCTCATAACCATCTATCTAGCTAGATATATATATATATCTGTGTGTATATATGCACCATGTACTTCAGAGCTGGATATTTTACTCAGAATACAAAAATGGAAGCTCAGAAAGAATGGAAATGCTCCCAGCACGCGGCTGCTGCTGGCTGAGACTGGCCCAGTCTGACACACAGACCACGGCCCCTCGTCAAAGGCAACTTTTTGGTACAGTATCTTTGGAGTAAGCATCTTGGCAGACACCCGGGATGCTAAAGCACAGCACACACTCACGTAAGAAAAAGATGGTCTCTTCTCTGGATGCATGGCTTTGTGGCATATTAAGTAAAAATACTACAATGCACCAAAACTTCTCGGGAATTTTGGGGAGTATTTTTGTATGAATTCTCCACCAAACTGAAGACCTGAGGTCTAGCCAGTGTCGTGGTTGAGAGAAGCAATTCAGATGGGACCCGAGTCAGTCTGTGACACTGGGTCCTGGCTTACTAATTTACTTACTTGGTTTTAATAGTGCCTAAAGATTATGTCAAATCAGGAAAAGGGCAGAATGGGTAAAACAGGCAATCCAGTGTGGTTTTTCCAAGTCCTAAGCAAAGATAGAGGAAGAGCAAACTGCAGTTCACAGGAATTCTCCGGGATGAGTACAAAACTAGGAAAAGTCCCAGAAGGCAGATTTTGGCCCAAAATGGTAAAAAATACATTCCAACTTCCTATGCATGTGTGGGCACGGTCATGGCCAGCTGTGAGCACAGCTGGAGCCTGAGCCCAAGGTGTGCGCTTCTGCAGCAGTGACATTGGGAGGCCTGATACACGGGAGCCCTTATCCAAGAAAGGACACCCCAAAAAAATTGCATTTTTTTTTTAATGCCCTTCAGACCTGTGTACGGGCAAGAGCACCGGCTTCCAGCTCGTTCCTGTCTTGTTAGTACAAGACTAACCCTAGGTAAATATAGCTGTGGCCAACCCCTCCTACCCACACGGATAAGAATAAATCCTCTGTTTCTGAAGTGTCTGCTCTCTCCCTCTCAGCACCAACCCACCTTTTCCCCGGAAAGGTGAAGATTAACCCAGGCCACAGTCACCGCTAAAGGTGGTTATTTCTGCACTGCAGACAAGGGCTAGGAGGAGAGAGAAAGAAGGGGAGGAGGAAAGAAGGGGAAAAAAAAAAAGCAGGGGAGGTTCTTCTGTTCTCATTTGCAGTACAGAAAGACCGGCAGGTGAAGGAGGGAGTCAGGCCAGGAGGCAGTTTTAGTTTGCTTACACAACAGCAAGATAGGAAGCTGGATATCGATTTGGGAGAGAGTTTGTGGGGGTGATTGGTAGGTGTGTGTGATAGCCTGATTCTGCTTAGCACTGTAAGGGTTAACGCAGGGGTGCCAGTAATAGAGGTGACTCTGGGCACCTTCTCCCAGTGCTCCCACTAGCACGGAGGAGAGTCAAGCACGCATGAAGAAGGGCCACGGCTCCACGCTGGCTCGTGGGGACGGGTCACGATGCGTTGGGGACTATCCCGTAGGCTTCGTACAGCGTGTTGAGCAGCTCCTGCTTTTCCTTCTCGGGCAAGAAGCTGGACTGAGCTGCGTTGATGTTCTGGGGAGGCAGAGGGGGAACACGAGGGAGATGTTAAGACACATCCGACATGAACATGTGGCTGTGCTCATCCCAACATCTGGCTCTGAGCAGCAACAGGCGAGGGAAAGCATAAAGTTTTCACTCTGAGATTTGCTTCCACAGCATCATTTTAGAGAGCAGCTGCTCTGGCCCATCTCTAGCAACAGTCCCAAGAGGATACAGGCAGGCACAAAGCAAAGGCCTTTAAATACTCTGGAGTTTATAGACCTGCTCCTGCTCTCCCAGCTCCCCTTTGGACAGGAGCCTCTGCCAGCACAGCAGTGGTGGCTGCTGGCTGGGACACAGCCCAGCTGAGCAAAGAAACCTGCTCCTCCATCCTGTGCAGGGACCTTTCTTTTATTACACAGGAACTACCTGGCTTTCACAAGAGTGGAAGGGGACAGCTGGCATCAGAAAAGCTGTGGATCCAAGATCCCAGAGCTCTCCTTGTTCCCCCTTCCCGAACCAGAAGAGGGAGGTCTGTAGGAGGAAGAGACTTGTTTCTCCAGCCCGAGCTGAGAGCAGGACTGATGCTCTCCTGTAGAGCACACCCTGCACTCCTCAATCCCAGCAAGTATCTCTGGAGACACACAGGTGAGAGCGCTGAGCACCACTCCCAGCACAAACCAGGAAAGGTTCACTTGGTCACCAGCCAAGCCAAACTCCCAACAGTTATCCTGTCTCAGGTAAGTAATTAGAATATCGATGACTAAAGCCACTTTTCAGGATGTAATCAAGACATATAAATGACTGTGTGCCAAAACTAAAGCCAGCACTCCCTTTGTTTCCAGCTCAGTTATTGCAAACTCATGTCCTAAGTGCAAAACCTGTGAGCACTTTTGTAGCTGCTGAACCCTGATAACCTTTGGGCCAGACCCCAAAATAACCGACATGTGTGAGCACTTTTGTAGCTGCTGAACCCTGACCTTTGGGTCAGACCCCAAAATAACCAACATTTAATTCCAAATCCAGGAAAAAATAAACAAAAAAAACCAACAGGCACCTTCCTTCTTTCCTGCTCAGATCTTCAGTGGACAATTTCCACTCTGACCTGCTCCCCATAAAGCCCAGAGGAGTCAGCCCAAGCCCTGCAGCCCCTCCGGAGCCCACCCTGCACTCACACCCCACTGCTGCCCGCATCCCCCCCAGCCAGCTCAGCCCTCTCAGCCTTGTGTGCTCACAAGGGCGGTGCAGGATCGCCCGATTTCCATTGAAAACTCTTCATCTTAAAGAGAAAAACATCGGGCTGTTGGGGGCTGTGCTGGGACACCAGCAGAGCACCCAGCCGAGGCTGACGTACCGCTGTCTTGAAGTCCTCCTCGGTGAAGCCCATGTAGTCCTTCACTATGCTGTAATCCTTGTCAATGCTGGAGTTAAAGATGAGGGGGTCGTCCGTGTTTATAGAATAGTTAGCGCGATCCTTCCTAAATCTGTAAGGAAATCAGGTTGAACCGGTGGCTAAAACACGGGGTACGGCACTGGTCATGCCCTTCTCAGGGTAAAATGCAGGAAAAGCCAGGACCTGGTGGCTGCCCAAACAGCTTGTGCTGCTCAACACAAACACAGGGCTTGGCTCTTCTCCGGTGCAGCAAGGAGCAGGGCATCTCTTACCCAGAACTTCAGCGACCTCAGCTCACACCCCAAACTAGGGCCGGTGGCCAGTGCAGGCCCTCGTGCCCCACAGCTCAGAGCAGGGGTGAAGGGGGACAGGACAGCCCCCCCCTCACCCTGAGGGACCCCTGCGCCCCTTCCCACTGCACCAAAGGGTGAGGATGAACCTCGTTTTCCTAAGCAGTCAGATGTGCCTTACCTTTGTAAAGCATTAAAACCGCTACCATCAACCCAAAATCCTACTTATTTAAGATTGCACATCATTGAGAAGTCTTACTGTGTTACTGGGTGTTTCCCGAAGTCCGGATGACATGCCCCAGTGAGATAACTGGACCAAGGGCAGACCTGTTGGGGGAAGTTAAACGTACAAACCAGAATCAGCCAGGCCGATCTGGCCCACAGCTGTGTGGGCAGATATCTCGGCACGCTGCTGAAGCCTGATACAGGGTCAGAGCTGTGTTCTCAGCTCTCCCTCAGCCCTGGGACCCGTGCACGTCCCAGGACAGGGGTGCAAGGAGCCCACAGCCTGCGTGACAGCAGCAGGAGTCGGTGGGAAATTTCCCATGGCCAGCCAGGACCAGTCATGGGTCAGCCACAGTTAAGAAAGCACCAGCATTAAATATAGACATCTATATTCCATATATTAGTTGGATACACCCATTCTGGGGAAAAGCCAAAGAAATCTGCCCATGCACAGTAACTCCCAGGCACTTCCACCCTCCAACTAGACAGGGTCTGGTTCAGCAGCCTTATCATGGGAGGAGGAGCCTGCAGGCTCGAGGCATATAAAGAAGTGAGTAAGGCCTCCAAAACTTATCCTCAGGCAGACCAGGACCCATTTCTCTCTGTTACATGCCTCCTGCAAGCTGCTGTGTGCACCAGTGCTCCTCACAGCAAAGATCCCAGCAAACAACCAGGTGTCCCCACCACTTTTGCTGTGGAGCTTTGAGCATCCAGGTACAACGGCAGCGTCACCATACGGGTGGTCAACACTCGGGGGTCAGGTTGTGTCCCTGGCTGAAGCAGAGCCCCAGTGAAGGCTGGTTTCCCACTCAGACAGCAGCTACCTGGCTGTCACCCTCCTACCACACATCCTTACCTCAAAATGCATCTTGGCTTTCAACAGCTCCTTGTAGAGCTCGGGGTCCTCCAGGACATGGTAGCCATGGCCAATGCGCTCAGCCTTCAGGAGATAAACTGCCTAGAGAGCATGGAAAAACCACATATGGCCTCCAAGCAGCAGCTCCTGCCTGCCCAGAGACCCCTGTCCCACCACGGGTGCAGCCCACACCCCTGAGCCAGCTCTGGGGAGATCCGATCTGAGCCATTTCACTGAATTTCACTGAATTTCTAGAGTTGGAAGGGACCATAGAGATCATCTAGTCCAACTCCCCTGCTGAAGCAGGATTGCCTAGAGCTAGAGCATGTTACTCAGGACTACATCCAGGCGGGTTTTGAAAATCTCCAAAGAACCCCCGAGCCAGCTCTGGGGAGATCCGATCTGAGCCATCTGGACCACATCTCTGCCTGGGTCCCTCCTGCTTGCCCTGCTGTGAATGCAGAGAGGACTCAGGCTCCTCTCTCCCCGGGATGCAGGGGCACTTCCCAGCCCTGTCCCTCTTTCTGCCCCCATCCCTCCTGTTCTCCAGACTAAAGAGTCCCAGCTCTCTCAGTCTCTCCTCATAAGGGAGATGCTCCAATCCCTGAATCATCTCTGCCTGGGTCCCTCCTGCTTGCTCTTCTGTGAATACAGAGAGGACCCAGGCTCCTCTCTCCCCCTTTTCCTAGCCCTGTCCCTCTTTCTGCCCCAGTCCCTCCTGCTCCCTGCCCCGAGCTCCTCATACCTCCTTGATCATGGCAGGTGGGCCAGCCTCCCCAGCATGGACGGTGCGATGGATCCCGCATCTTTCAGCTTCCTGCAAAGTAAGGGAGGACACGCTGCTGTCCCATCGCCTGCAGCGAGGTCAGCAAACCCCCCAGGGTTGGCAGCCCTCTCAAGGGGCACAGCAAGCAACAAGGCTCTGCACAAAGAGCCCCCCAAACCACAAGCCCTGCACCCCGGGAGGTGCACGCTCTCTGCTGTAGCGCAGGCTGCCAGAGAAGAGCTCGGTAACACCAGAAGCACAGAAACTTAGAAAGCCAGGCTACCTTCCCCTGGAGCCCAGCCAGACTCCTCAGGGTCTTTTAATACTGGCTGAGCTCACCACTGTCTCCTCTCCAGACAGCAGGAAACCCAAAGCTCTCCTCCCTCCACCCCCTCGCCCTTCTGCATGCACCTTGCAGCAGTTCCTGTCTTTGAAACGTCTACCTTTTTGGCTGGCTGCAGCCAAGCAGGAGAATTTAAGAGCCCCCAGGGCACAGATTAGCTCAGATGATGCTCAGACACGGAGTGGTTCCCTCCTGTAATGGGCTGGGTTGGAGGCAGCCCAGCCGGGAGGACCCAGCAGGTTCAGATGCTCTCCATGGCCACCCTGAAGAACCCCTTGCCAGGGGGACCACACATCACCCAGGCTTTGGGAAGCTGCACAGCCTCCAGGGAAGCCTGGCTCCTGACTTGCTGGAGAAAGACCACCCAGCCAACGGTGGCAGACAGGCTGCAAGCCCCGTCTCGCAGCAGACACCCTTCCCAGGCACTCCCTCAGTTCTTTTCACTCATGAATTTTCTTCAGTTACTTAATTTTTAGCTCTTCATGTGCTACACACCCAAGCCCCACCTAGGATATCTACAAAAGAGCCCTGTTTACATCCACCTGAAAGGCACTCTGTGCTCCCTGCATTTAAGTGAGCATTGATTTTTCCTAAACAGCTCATTGTTTTTTTCACATTTTTTTTAAACTAACAAAACCCCTCTGGCTGAAGTACCAGACCAGGACGACAGACAGACTCACACCAGCACTGAGATTTTTCTACTTGTTTCTACCTGGGACGAAGACAAACCAGAAACTCTTGTTCCCTCACTCCCAAGGCTGGCATCCCTAACCATCCCAACTGGGAGGAGCTGGGGATACAAGCAGAGGGGTCAGGAACACCACATGCACCAGGACTTCCCCACTAACCCTCCTGGCCAGGAAGGAGCTCATGCCTAACATCCATCCATGGGCGTATCTTCCCTGGGATGGCTTCATCCCTTTTTCAACCCATTTGTCTGAGGATGCTGGTGCTTCCCTTGGCTTCTCCTCCAAGAATCACTGCCTCCTCAGACATGGTGGTCCTGGGATCGCTTCTACCCTGGAGCCCCTCCACAGGCAGCAGCCACAGATGAGCTTTTGCCATTATCTGCTCTGTCCCCTCCAGCCCTGAGAGCTCCCAGGCAGAACAGGCAGTGCCCAAGTGACACCACAGATCTCTCTGATTTCCCTGGACACATTACATACCCCACGGAGCAGTTTCTACCCCACAGCAGCAGTATTTATGGGGAAAATAAAGGTCAAGAGGGGCCGGTGGTCAGGAGTGGGGTTTGGCTCAGCATCTCAGAGCCTGGGGGAGTCCCCGGCACAGAGACAAGATGCACCCTCCAGACAGGGAAATGTGGACCTGGGTATTGCCAGGGCAGGATGAGATACACCTGCCCATCAGTTAGTAAAACCCTGTGCCCTCACCTCAGTTTATAGCCAGGCAGCTCACCCAGCACAGCAGAGCATCAGCTCCCACTGACGGGGGAAAAGACCCCAAGAAAGCCCTGTGTCGCTTCATAGACCTGAGCCCTGCTGGCAAACCACCCTCCTGTTTCACAGTGATGGTGCACAGCCTCCTCTCCCACTGCTGCAGGGCACCAACAGCCCTGAGCTCCCACCAGCGAGGAGGAGCAAAGCACAAAGCTCTCCCTTCCAGCCGCTGCCAAGCGCCGAGGTCCAGCGAGAGTCTCGGGTCAGGCTCCTGAAGCCATTCCAGCATTTGAGATGATCAGATAAAAGCACTTCAAACAGCTCCTCGGGTGACTTCTGCCAGACTGGAAAGGCCAGTCTCTTCCAGCCTCGGTGGTGGTGGTTTCACCAAGCCCCAGGAGCAGAACCCAGTTGGCAGCAGGGTGCTGCCAGGGGGGACATGGGCTCCACGTCACTCGTGTCACACTCAGTGCTCTGGGATAGCATGCCACGCTCCAGCTCTTAGGCCATGTTTAAGCAATGATGCCTGCCCTTAATCATTTAGGAAATATAAACAAATAGTTTTGCTATTTAACTGAATGTTTCTAATAGCTGCAACGAAATTTTAAGCCGTCCCAGCTGTTCTCAGCCTGAATAACATACTGCATGTCCCCTCATGCACGTCCCCTCAGGACATGTTTTTCTTAAAGTTTCTTTCAAGAAGCTTATTCAACAAACCTCATAAGCCTTCTTATGGTCAGAGGTATCCTCCACCTTCAGGGTCTCATCCCCAGCCAGGTCGATGGCCACCACAGAGTTGTTTTGATACTTCTTGCAGAGCTCCACCACCTCCGGAGACCAGCCTGGAAGAGACAGTGCCAGGGTTCAGGAGAAAGCATTCGTAAGGGTTGCACCTTCAGCATTTTTCTCAACAAATCCTACAACTAAAAGGCTAGAGCTATGTCCTTTGGCCTTTCCTAAAATTTGAGGCTCAAAAAAAAAAAAGCTAAGAAACTCCTAGAAAGGTCTGCCATCTTCAGGCAAATAAAAGCTGTCAACTTCAGCGTCATTGAAAGGGAAGACAAATGCATTTACCAGCTATAAAACTGCTCTCATGGTATTTTTCTGCTCACTTTGAGCACAGGAAAAAAAAAAAAATAAAGGAAAAAACCCCCTCCAAACACAGTAGTGATTGCTGCAGCTGGCCTGAAGTAAGCTGAACTGCACAGACAAGATGATGGATGCTGCTCCTGGTGGGAAGGAGCTGGTCAGCCTCCTGCAAAGCAAAAAAAAAAAGCTAAGAAACTCCTAGAAAGGTCTGCCATCTTCAGGCAAATAAAAGCTGTCAACTTCAGCGTCATTGAAAGGGAAGACAAATGCATTTACCAGCTATAAAACTGCTCTCATGGTATTTTTCTGCTCACTTTGAGCACAGGAAAAAAAAAAAAATAAAGGAAAAAACCCCCTCCAAACACAGTAGTGATTGCTGCCTGAGGTAAGCTGAACTGCACAGACAAGATGATGGATGCTGCTCCTGGTGGGAAGGAGCTGGTCAGCCTCCTGCAAAGTTGACATTTAACACCCACGAAGTCTTATCTTTTTGGCATCAGTCAGAGAGAGAGAAACAAGTGGCCAACAACTACTTCAGAGTTATCTCTGATGAGGACAGAGGATAACGTCTGAGAACGAACATGCATCTACCAGCTCAAGTAGCACTTGCCCTAAGCAAAAAGGCCAAGAAACAGATAAACAGCAGTGTTAATTATTAACAGGCACCTGCTGCGTACATTCAATCCCAAAATCATATGAACACATAAGAAAATGGTTGCAACTTCATCTTCTTTTCATCAGTTTCCAAGTCACTGGGTTAGAGCCATTATTTTATTAACAAGTTTAATATGAGCTAGTTCTGGCTGCCACCTCTGGTTTTCTCTCAACAGTTAATAAATTACAGGGTGGCTTCTCACTCTGCAGCACATCCCGAATGCAGTGCTGAAGACCCTTGTATCCAGCCCATCACTGGCTCTGGGTAAGGGTTGCTGCCCTGGGACAGAGACATGAGAATGCACACTCAGTTGTTTGCACAAGCAATCCCCATGCAAACACACGGGTCCTCAATATGAGCTAGTTCTGGCTGCCACCTCTGGTTTTCTCTCAACAGTTAATAAATTACAGGGTGGCTTCTCACTCTGCAGCACATCCCGAATGCAGTGCTGAAGACCCTTGTATCCAGCCCATCACTGGCTCTGGGTAAGGGTTGCTGCCCTGGGACAGAGGCATGAGAATGCAAACCCAGTTGTTTGCACGAGCAATCCCTCCTGACGTGCGATCACACGGGCCCTGGGGGGCTCCCACCACCTTCTGCTTTCACCACTTGTGCGTTGGCAGGGACTGTAGCTGCAGACAAGTGTGACGCTGCCTTACAGCTTTCCAATTTCTACAAAGAAAAGAAGTTTTCTTCCTAGAAACCAGAAATTTCAGGGCCAAGTTTTCAAAGTATTGTTTGGGGTTGAGCAGCCAGGAAAAAAATCCACTCTCAAATCTCCCAGTTTCCAAGAAATATAATTTTTCACATTTCTAGACACAAATTAACCATGTACTCATTAGCAAAAATCTTTCCACCATCTATCCTACCAAGCCTACATAAAAATTGTTGTGAGATACTAAAATACTCAAGTCATATCTCGAGTATTCACACAGAACAGCTACTGTCATACCACCTCACTCTGCATCTTTCCCTAGAGGAAGATGCTCACAGAACTCAGCAGTCAATGAAACCCTGGAAACTGGGTTTTCTTCCTATTCTGGATCACACCACCTGTTACCAACAAAGTTCAGAGCTGCTGATTTTATAAATAAAAATTTATGTATGTGACTTCAGTGTATTTTACTTGTGTTTTCAGCTTAAACCAGCAGTGACTGCAGCCAGCAGATTCTCTGGCTGATCCATGGTCCAGGCTAAGGAAGGAGTTTGCTGCTGTAGCAGCATGACCATGAGCAGGGAAAGTGTGAGATCTCACACCTGGTCCTCCTCCTATGACTCTCAGACCCACCAGATGGCTGTGGCAGGCACAACTGCTCGCTGTGGCAATGGCTTCAACTGGCCCAAGGAGAGCTCCAGCCTTTGGGCAGGGAGTGAGGTATGAGCAGAAATCGCATCTCCCCCAGGAGAGGACAGAAGAACCCATTTTGTCTCTCTAGCAAAACCTCTCAGACACTGATTGTACCCACAGACCCCGATTCTCACATCCAGCAGACCCCTTCCCTGTAGTGAAGGGAGAAAAGGATCCCCACCAAGAAAAAACCCCACTATTCCTCAGCACTGTCTGGTCCCACATCAGACCCAGGGCCACGGGACCGGGGCTTTCCCTGCATTTCTGCAGGGACCTGAACCCAGGGGACGTCACCCCCCGCCACGCGTGAGGGAAGGGGAGCAGAGCAGCAGGGGGGCTGCAATACATTACTTGGCATATGGCGCATGCAGCATAGAATAGACCTGGCTTTGATGCGGAAATCCCTTTCTCCATCCTGTAGTCCCTGATTTACGAGGTTAACGACTTCATCTGGAGTGAGGTCTCCCCTGCAAGGAAGAAAAGCTGTCAGCGAGAGGCTGGAGACCCACCAGGGAGGCAGGCAGGAGCCACACGTCCAGTCCAGCATCCCCAGGGGACACCCAGGCTGCCCCAGGTCCCACTCGCCCCTAATGTCCAGAGGAGCCCGATGAGATCATCTAGGACTGAAGAGCACCTTTTGCACCCATGCCTTGCCCAGATCCACCAGGTATTGGGCACAAAAGCATGCAAAGATGATAGTGAGATTTAGAAAAGCCTCAGGAAACTGGATGCCAATCCTAACCCCTTGCTCTTTACCAGAGCATCTCATTAGGGTACACAAGTGCCTGCAGGTGGGCAGAGGCAAGCACGGGGGCTCAACATCCACCACAGCATGTATTTCAAGGGGCCACAGAGGCCAGCACTGATTAAATCCAAGGCATACATCACAGAGGGGATGACACGTAAAGAAGGGTTGGATGGCCAGCCCCCTCCAACATTGCCCACTGACTCTGCCAGCTCAAATTCACATTCTGCAGGCAGGCAATCCATATCTGAACACTGCCTTCCCTCGCCCAGAGACGGGCTGCAGCCTGCACGTGCTCTGCACGTGGAGAATTCAGCACCCAGAGCAAGGGATGTTAAAGGACAGCATCACACACAGATACTGCAAGAGAAAGAACCCTGTTGATGGGGAAGAGAGGCAGAAGAGTGCCAGCGCTCACCATGTTGGAGGAGAGAGGAGGTTTGGTTACACCAGACTTTTGAACACACGCTGGCTGACCAGCATGGGCCATGCCTTCTCCATGCCCAACTGGCCCCCACCAGCTCCCCGGCAGGGCAGGATCACTCACTCGGTTTGGCCCCAGGGGATGGGATCCACGCGGCAGTTGGCCAGGAGGTGAGGGCTGTACCGGACCTCCACGTAGATGACACCTTCTTTTGCTTTCGTTTCCACAAGCTCATAGGCGATCCTCCTCACCGCCTCACGGTCACCCCTGCAGGGATGGCAGTGGGACCCATCACTGGGACTCGTCACCCCCAGGCCACACTGGGGATGGGTGAGGTGACCTCCAAGGCTGAGCAACATTAGCCAAGGGGTCCTGCCAAGGGCTGGGGAAGTAGAAGCAAAGAGCAGGGTACTTACGCAATGGCAGGCATGTAGTGATTAAACTTTTCCAGAAACTGGGTAAGTGACAGTGGTGTTTTGTAGCTGACATGCTTCAGGAGGTCATCAACAGTGCTGCCGGGGAGAGGAACCCCTCTTTTCCTGGAAATGAGGGCACGTGTTAGTGATGGGGCAGGCTGGCGCTTTTTTAATCAGTCCATTTCATCCAGCAATCGCAGCCCGAGCTGGCAGCACTAACCACCGTTTCTTCACAGAAAAGATATGGCACACGTTGTCCTTCCAAAATCTCCTCGCAGATGCAGCCCTGAATCTCAGTGGGGAGGAAGGCGATCCAAAATACAGGCAAAGCACAAACAACTCGAAATCCAAGCCCAGACTGACCCAACAGGAACAGAGCCAGAGCACATTTTAAGCTTAAGAAGGAGTTGATCTAAAGGGGCTCTGGATTATTTCTTGGCACCTCTTAGTTCCAGTGGCAGAATTGCCAAAATTCTTTAGAAAAGTTAATTTCCACTTAGGCAGTCTCAAAGGCTTCAAAAATCATGGAGACACTCTCAGGCCCAGGATCACGCCTGCAGAAGTGTCCTGGCTCATGGGTTTCATTTTGGCAGCTCCTGTGAGTGACCCGGTTGCCAAGCCCAAGATAGTGGTGGCATCTCCTCTGATGGGGACACCTCCCATGCAGGAGCAAATAGCCATCCTAACAACTGCTCCCACCAAAGGGATGGTCAAGCCCACCTAAACTCTTCCAAGAGGGAAGAGGCTGTTTCTCCCTGGAGTCCTGGGTGGGTGGAGGTATCCCCAGTGGGATGACAGCTGGGCTTGAGGGGGACACGAGGATGCTAAATGCTTCCCAGGCAGGCTTCGGCACCCCCCACCCTACAGGCTGTCACTCTGCCATGAACGCCAACCTAAATTAGGAGTAATAACTAGACGTTTGTTTTTAATCCTCTTTCCTGCCACAGCGAATTACAGCCGACTGATGGGTCTCTCTGCTAATAGAGCCAAAACACCACACACAGCTTTGGCGTCCCGGTGCCGGCAGCCGTCCCCGTGAGCAACCTGCAGGGAAGCAGCCCCAACGACCCCGCTCCTGGGCCCAGCAAACACTGCTTGGTCTCTGCTGGAAGGGGCAGGAAGGAAACCAGCCCCACGCTCAGCCTTCACATGCCATCTGCAGGGATTAAGCTGCTGGCACTCGGCGAGGGACATCCATCCCTGCCAAGGCATCGGTTTTCCTTCCCGCCTTGCCCTTTCCGTGGCACCAACAACTCAGTCTCTGCTCCATATCGTGGTACCACCACCCGCCTTGCCCTTTCCGTGGCACCAACAACTCGGTTTCTGCTCCATATTGTGGTACCACCACCAAGAAGATGATCCCAACCTGCTTTCATTTCACTTGCTTCTGCAATTAGGAACATGGAAAAAGAAATGAGAATAAGACTGACTCTGCCGCATCCCAGGTACGCTTCAAAGGTAGACAGCTTGGCTTAGGAGACATCTCAGAGCTCCCTTCCAACCATGGTGATTTTGTGACATCTTCTATACTTTTCTCATGGTGGTTCCTCTTATTTCACCTGGCTTAGGGGACCGATGACCACCTCGGTCACCTTCTGGCTACCAACACAGCCCCAGTGCAACACCAGGCTGTGGGAAGGGCTCAGTGTCCTCACACCGTGCAGCTGGAGGAAAGGTCCATGCAGAGATAAGACAGGTCTGGTGCCTGCACACCAAGGGAGAGCTTGCTTTCCCACTCTGCCAGCACCAGCTCCTCCGCTGGAGAGCGGGATAAGCAGAAGGGATGATGCTCTTGAACCGCAGCTCCCAGAGTTTCTTCTCCCTCCCTGCAACTCACCTGCCAAAGTGCAAGATTGTTTCTGGCCTAATGGCTCCATCCAGGTGGACGTGAAGTTCGACCTGCAATAAAAGGGGAAATCGGTGAGGAACTCTCAGAGCTGCAGCAGGAGTTTAGAGAGAAGCTGCTGGTGCTCACACGGGTACAAATGCAGCCAACACAGAGACGAAGTCATGGCAAAGAAGGACAAAAACATTTTTAAAATACCAGCATTCTAAAGTTTATTTTTCAATATCTAAGTACTGTCTAAACGTTTTCTTATTCCTGCTGCAGCTCACACATTTAATGGATCTTTAGAAATTTATTCTGTTTCCAGTCATTCTCAGGAACTGCCCAATCCTTATGTAGCTTGTACGGTTCAGAGTTTGGGAGGAGTGAAAAAAAGCAAACCCCAAACACCTTGCTTCCTTCTTGAATTCACAGACATCCAAGCACCAATTAATTTGCTAAGAGTCATTGCACAAAAACTTTGACTCCACTTCCAAGAATCAGCTCCTGATATATTGCTAATTACTTCTCATTATCAGAGCTTACAGGCTTTCTAACCCTACATGTGGGGTCAGTCCCATGGTACAAGGTGCTGTAAAAATAAAAGAAAATTAAAACAAAGCTGCCCCGTAGAGCCAACGATCTGGTTCCAAAGTAAAACACTTGAATTTTGACTCATTAAAAATGGGACAGTAACTCGGATCTCTTCGCTCTCAAACCTGGTTTCCCGATTATTGCTGAAACAATGGATTTTGGAGAAAGAGCCCCAGAAAAGCAAAAGCAAGCTTTTTCCATTTAGGCAGCTGGGGCTTGTGGAGGAAAATGACAAATGTAACTTGGAAGTCGAACTGGGAAGGAAAATATTAGCTGTAGAACGTTTCAGAGAGATCTTTGTATTTCCAGAACTGTTTTCTTTTAAGCGATGGACTGGCCTACAAAATACATACTTAATTTATTATTATTTTTTTAATGAAACTGTAGAGCAGCAACTTAATGCACAAAGTTCTTGTTAGTTAGAACATTGTGCAGGGGATTGCTGCGGGATGCCGCGGGGAGGAATGCCGTAGGATTCGGAAGAGGGCTGGATGTTTGCATGGACAACTAAACCGCCCAGGGTTACTAATTAAAACCCACAAACCCTCTGGCGTCAGGGTACGCATCAAACAGTAACTACGAGGTGCTGGAAGGAAAATGAGTAAGCGGTTCCTACGAGCTGGGCAATGCATAATTGTCCATAATTGTCCACCACGAGATCCCTTCACCCTCCTCTGAAGCATCCCTGGGCTCAGGGCTGCTGGCCCCACTCCTGCCCCAGGGTTGGCAGTGCCCATCTCTGGGACCAGTGCCGATGCCCACGAGCTCGCCCCCATCCCCACAGCCCCTGGAGATACCCATCTTCTGACCCACGGCCAGCATCATCATGGACCGCTTCTGCTGCAAAAGGCCACCATCGCTGGGGTGGGACAGTGCTTGGGTTCAGGCCACCTCCATAGGATGGCCATGAAGCTACCCTTGAAACCTGCACCGGTGGGATGCAAAATGCAGGTGCCCAGCTCAGGGCAGCTGGGGCTCCTGATCCTGTACCGTCACAACCAGCTGGTCCAGGGGTCATGAACGTCCCCACTGCCAGCCCTGCTAGCAGGTTGTAAAAAGATATCCCCGTCACTTCTCCAACCCTTAAGACATGATCTGACTCTACTGGGGTGAAGATTTTAAAAGGGCAAAACCTGATCTTTCCCCCCACCTCGAGTTACCCAATCCTGCTGATGAGGACGAAATGTCCCGAGAAGCAGCAGATAAAATAACAGACTATGGACATGATCCGCATCGCCAGATGTGGACGCCTGGCACGTTTTCCACTCTTGAGCTCTGATTCCTATTTCAAAACCGTGCAAGCCTTGAGGTTTTCAACAGCCCTGTGGCCTTCTGGTGGAGTTACAGGGTTGAAACTAGCTCACAATGGATACAAAAACTAAGCAACCCGAACCTACTGGGGTCTCCTCTCTCCAAACATTTCTCAAGCATTTGCTGCAAGAACACTCCAACATGACACTTCATACAATCATAGAATTGTCTAGGTTGGAAGAGACCCTTGGGATCATTGACTCCAACTTCCATCAGTGTGAAAGCAAATTCAGTGGTGTCCTTCACTCATGTGAGCCACCTCCTTCTGCCGCTGCTGCAGACGAGATGCTTGTAAAGTGGCAAGGTTCCTTCCCAACACCAGCAACAGGCTCTTCACCCACTGCCATGCCTTTCTTCAGGCCCGGAGGGACCTAAGCACTAAGAAACTCTTGTGCAATGCTACTCAAACCAAAACCTTGTGAGGTTCCTCAACATCAGGGCCTGGGGGGGAGCTGTTTTCTGCAGCTGGGAACTAATCTAGGCTACTCAGATTACCAAGGGACATTCAAGTGGAGAAGCAAAGGTGTGCCTACAAGGGTCTTCACCGAGAGCTGGCCCCAGATAAGGATGCAATCGGCGGGGGCAGAGCCCAGCAGCTGGGCTGCCCCGGGTGCAGGTCTCCAGCTCGGTGGGAGGCTGCTGGCTGCAGATTGCACCGCAGCTCTCCTCCTGACTGTTTGCTTTGGGTAAACAAACCACAAGACTTTTCCAGATACAAGGGGGTGACATGACCTTGCTTTAAGTCAAGGAAAGTATCCAGATAAAGATGAAAGAGTTTTTTTTCTGAACCCGTGGCTCCAGGAGACAATGCCTGAGTAAGCAGAAATAAGGTGAAGGCAGGAACCCGGTGGCTTTTCCAGAGCTCTGCTCCTTGGCAAATGGAGGTCCACACACACATGGTCTCCCACCCCAAGCCCTTTGGTTTATTTGCAGAGGAAGCCTGTGCACACAGATTAAATAGGAATCTTGACACTTGGGTCCAGGACCCCAACGGCACCACGGGCTGCACCAGCCCTGGAGCCTTCAGCCATGCCAGGACCACCCATGCCTTCCTTTCTCACAGCAAACCTGGACATCATAACGTCTGTTTGGATGAGGGAGAAAGCAGTGGAGCTCTCAAACACTTTCCAGGGGCAGGAGCACTGTTCTTCCCCCAGCTGCAGAGAAGACCCTCGGGGTCACCTTGGTGCAACCACCCTTCAGCCCTTCTTCTGCACCCCCCAGCGCTGCAGCTGGGACTGGGCTCACCGACCACCGCCCTCACCAACCAACGACGCAAAACCATCCCACAAAACTCTGAGTTTCGCTAAAGAGCTGTCAAAAGGCAGAGGAATGAGTTCAAAAGACGCAACCGGCCATAAATTGTGCGTCCTCAGCACAGACACCCCCCGGCGAGGCCGTCGGGGAGCAAACCCAGCGCTTTCCATTTTCATGCAAAAAAAGTTTTAGCTGAAGCCCGGCACGTGACTCATTAGTGCAGATATCAGCAAGTTGGTTCAGTTATCAAAAAAGGAGAAGTTTTAAGGGCTCTGGCTTGACTTTTCTTTTCTGAGAACATGGTAATGTTTTCTTTGGAACTTAATAAGCTCCAAAAATAAATTCAAACACAAAATGAGGTACTGCAAACAAGTATGTTCCATTCAACTATCAAGTATGATTATTTTCAATTTAGTGAAATTAAGAGGAAAAAGCTAACCAAACATTCAAAGTGTTTTCAGCTACAGTCCACCCAACAGAATTTCTCTGTTACTCTTCGGTTTGCTCAGCAGACCATGGCAGGGCAGTTAACTGCTCCCTTTGCCTATTACGTGGCATAAAAAGTACCATCCAAGCTAATGCATTTGAGCGAATTTCTGCATTAGGTGGTTTTAGCGTCCTTTTTAAAATATACACAACGAACAAAGTCAGCCCTAACACCACGGTAAAAGTGACAACCACCTCACCTTTTATTTTGATGGTTTCCAGCAGGTGTTAATAGATAATCCAGGCAGCCGCCAAAGTTGCATCATTTTAAAACCCTTAGCAGTGACTTTGCCCAGGATTATTTATCAGCACATTAAAAGGTGGCAATTTAAAGTTCGCTCTATTGATCTCAATAACTGAAAAACAGAGTAATTACAGCTGTCATTTGTCAACTGTTAGATAGACATGGCAGGAAAATGTTACTAGAGAGCAAAATTCAACAAGAGATAAGACAAATGCCAACCACTGCAAAAAGCAGGAGCAGTGCACCCCAAATACTGGCTTTGTGAAAGCCCACCATCAGCAGCCACGTCCTCCTGCTCCTCCTGAGCTCACCACAAACACTGTTTGGAAGCACCAGGTGAGCCTGGATCAAGAGGGACATGAAGCAGAAGAGACACAGTATTATCCTCAGACCTGATGACCACCCGCACGTGCGTTTTGGAGACGAATCTACCATAAACTGCAAGGTTTGAGTTTAGAGAAACGTGGGAGACTACAAGAGCCACCCACTGCTCCACTGCAAGAAGCAGTCGTGCTTCTAGAGGAGCTTTCCCAGGACACATGGCTTTGGTGGCTGAGGAGAAGGATGCTCCCGTGCGGAGCAGCCTTTAGGTTGGTTCCTCCTGGCACCAACCCCTCCGCCTCCACCGACCTCACTATGAGGCTCCTGCTGCTGTTCAGATGGTGTGGTCAAGATGCCATGAAGCCTCAGATGGTGGCTGTGTGTCACCCTCCTGCAGGGATGGCTGGGCCATGTCCCTCCCTGAGCCGTGGCAGACCTCGCACCAGCAACGAGGCCACACTCAGGAGCAGTAAACAGAGTCCTTGCACTTTGAGCAGCGCCGGGACAGCCTCCTACGTTTGTCACGGCGTTTGACAAGCTGTGTCAGGAGCCAGGAGGGCAACGTGCCGGCAGAGCATGGCTGAGGGACCGAGCACACGTGTCGCTGCCTAAGGAACCGCTCAGCTCCACCAGCCCCACCAGCACCAGGGCCTGACCCTGCCCAAGACAGTTGGGGTCAGGCTGTGCATGGAGAGCAGATGAGCTGTAGAAAGCATCATCCTCGGCACACCCTCCCGCGCTTGCACTCCCTGCAATAAAAATCATCTTTTTAATTTTTTTTTTATTATTATTTTTGTAAGTTTTGCACCCAAAGCAAATTACAGAACCACAGAATCACATAGGGTTGGAAAGGACCTCTGGAGATAATCTAGTCCAACCCCCCTGCAGGTCCACCCAGAGCAGGTTGCACAGGAATGTGTCCCGTTGGCTTTGAATGTCTCCAGAGAAGGAGACTCCACCACCTCCCTGGTCAGCCTGTTCCAGTGCTTTGCCATCCTCAAAGTGAAGAAGTTCCTCCTCACGTTTAGGTGGAACTTCTTATATTCAAGTTTGTGCCCATTTCCTCTTGTCCTATCCCTGGGCACCACTGAAAAAAGACTGGCCCCATCCTCTTGACACCCACCATTTAAGTATTTATGGGCATTGATCAACTCTCCCCTCGGCCTTCTCTTTTCTAGACTGCAAAGACTCAAGTCCCTCAGCCTCTCCTTCTAAGGGAGATGCCCCAGACCCCCAAATTCCTGTACTACTGGCTCAGCATAGATGAGCAGGTCTGTCTCAAGCAGGGGGATGCTGCAGCATCACAGGGAGCAGGACAGGACACCCCTCCAAGCCCCCCAGGTACCGCCAGGAGTGCTCTGCAGCACAGCGGCCACCTTTGGTGACACCCAGATTTGGTCACCAGGCCCTCTCCTAACCATCAACAGGCACATGCAGCTACAGCCAGTTCTGGCCACCTCTCCCATGCCCAGGTGCCATGGGCACACCTGAGACAACCACCTCCCTTTGGATAGGGACAGGCCTCGGAACGCTGTGACACACACAGCGTGACCTGGGAAGACGTCCAGGAACCTCTGCCTGGTGCCACCTGGGCTTATTTGGGCAACAAGCATCCAGCAGCAGAGCCTCACCAGCAGCTGGGAAAGTCAGGTCTGTCCCCAGAAGTCCCCATTCCCATCCTGCTCCCTGCAGTGTGGCTCAGGGCACACGGGAGCCACAGGATAAAGAGACGTGTCCCAAAAAGAGAGGTAAGAGGCTGATGCAGGTCCAAGGAAGAGCAGTTTTTTCTGCTCTTTCATGGTTTATGATAAGCAGGGTTCAAAGTTGCCCCCTCCAGCAGCCCCAGCAGCTCCCAGTTCACCCACTGCAGTAGCCAGGAGTCAGCGAGTTCCCGAAAAATGCAGAGGCAGCCCCGGCCCCACGTTCAGCCAGGGCTCGAAGCCGCTCTGCTGACCAGAAACATCTCTAAAACACAAACCTGATCATTCCCAATGGCCGAGGCTCCGGGGGAATGAATAGGGCTCATTAACTGCCTTCAGACCCATTTTTTTCCCCCCCAAGCCTGACTTAGCAGGTTCCCAGGACTGAAAAGGACTGCCTGACTCAGGGAAACCAGGCTCGTAATTGCTGGCAACCGGACAACAAAAGCCTGACCTTCGTGGTCAAACCCTGCATGGTTTTTCCCAGGTCTCTCTTCAGAGGTCTTCTCTCCCACTCTCACACGCAGGGGAAAAGTGGGAAGAAACACAAGTGAAAGAAGAACTTAACTTGCTTCTTTCAGCCAAAAGCATAAAATGAGTGGGGTGAACCACCAGCTTCTGGTCTTAGTGAAGCTGATGAGAAGGAAACCTCACTCAAGCACAAAGCAGACTCATGCACACAGGCTTTTCCAAGTACACTAGACACCTCTGGTGTGAGCTCAGACTGGGAGAGAACTGGTTTGGGAGCGGTAGGGGATGCAAACAATGGCAAAAAAACCCCAAAGCAACCTTTTGGGTATTCAGAGGCAACGTTCTTGCCTGGGAAAGCCACATGCAGTTGTCACCACTCAGGTTCTCCCAGAGCAGACCACCATAGAATCATAGAATTGCCCAGGCCGGAAGGAACCTCCAAAGGTCATCTAGTCTGACCCCCCCGCAGTCAGCAGGGACACCCCCAACTAGACCAGGTTGCCCAGGGCCTCATCAAGCCTCACCTTGAATATCTCCAGGAATGGGGCCTCAACCACCTCCCTGGGCAACCTGTTCCAGCGCTCCACCACCCTCACAGTGAAGAACCCTCTCCTAATCTCTAATCTAAATCTGTTCCCCTCCAGCTTGAAGCCATTGCCCCTCGTCCTGTCACTGCAGGCCTTTGTAAACAGGTTCTCCCCAGCCTTCCTGTAGGCTCCCTTCAGGTACTGGAAGGCTGCTATTAGGTCTCCCCGGAGCCTCCTCTTCTTCAGGCTGAACAACCCCAGCTCCTCAGCCTGTCCTTGTAGCAGAGGTGCTCCATCCCCCTGATCATCCTTGTGGCCCTCTCCATCAGGTCATCACCACGAGCCTCACATCACTTTTCTTGGTCTCCTCTGCCCACCAAGAGCCCAACCTTGCCTGGTCACCAGAGCTTGAAGGCAGGCAGGTGGAGAGAACGTGCTCCTCGTACTCCTGCTTACCCAGACCACAGCCCAGGAGCTGAGCTGTCGTGCAGCAGAGGCAGCTCTGCCATCAGACACAGGGCTATCCCTAACCACATCCGTTCCATCTTCTTCTCTCATCAGGTTTTGGTTGGTTTTTTTTTTATATATAATTTGATTAATAAACATATTACTGTGTGATCCTACTTGAGATGTACTTATGCAGCACACGGCGAAAGACCAGAGCACCCTCTGACAGCATCACCGAGATGGTATCTGAGGAATAACTCAACTAAATGTTTAAGGGGGAAAACAAAAAAACAACAAACCACCACCAAAAAATAAAACAGCAAAACCAAAGCCCCAAACGAAAAAAAAAAAATAAAAAAGAAAAACACTAGGAGAAAACGTTTGTTTCAGCAGAGCAAGGAAACAGTTAGATCCTTCAGGACTTGCCTCTTCCCCAGCCATCCCAGCAGCACATCTCCCGCCCGGAGGAGCCAGGGGACCGCGGGATACCGGGATGCCCGGGACACCGGGGGCAGCTCCTGCCGGTACCGCCGGGTGAGACCCCAGGGCACACACACACGCTCCGCTCCCGGCTCCGCCGCCGTGCCCCGGCTCTCACCCCGCTGCACACTGGGGGTCCACCCGCCTCTCACCCCCCGGGCTGGGGGCGGCGGCTCGGCTCCGGTGCACGGCCCGGTTCTCAGCCCCGCTCCCACCCCCCCGGCTCCCACCCGCGGTGCACGGCGCCTCGTCCCCCTCCACGGCCCGGTTACCGGCACACAGCACCTCACACCCGGTGCATGGCCCGGTTCCTATGCCCGGTGCATGCCCCGGTTCCCAGCACCGGTTCCTATACCAGGTGCATGCCCCGGTTTCCAGCCCCGGCTTCCAGTCCCGGTTCCTATGTCCGGTGCATGCCCCGGTTCCCAGTCCCGGTTTCTATGCCCGGTGCGTGCCCCGGTTCCCAGTCCCCGTTCCTATGCCCGGTGCGTGCCCCGGTTCCCCAGTCCCGGTTGCCAGTACCGGTGCATGCCTCGGTTCCCAGCACCGGTGCACGTCCCGGTTCCCAGTCCCGGTTCCTATGCCCAGTTCCCAGCCCCGTGCCTCCACCTCACCTTGGGATCCCCGAAGACGCACACCCCCCTCTCCATGCCGCTGCCGCTGCCGCCGCTGCCCCGCACCGCACCGCACCGCTCCGTTCCGCGCCCGCCGCCCCGCTCCGCCCCCGCTCCGCCCCTCGCCGGCCCCGTCCCGTCCCGCCCCGCAGCGGCCCCGCGGGGTGTCTTTGTGTG